TATGTCCCTGGATCCCAAGTGAGTAAAGAAGTCTCCCAAGGATTCCAAGCCTCAGCCATTTCAACCATCTCAAAGAGTGCCCTGGACATCATAGAGATTAGACATCACCTTGCCCTACTCAAAGTCCTGGTCCACAGAATCTTTGAGCACAATAAAATTTTTATTTTATATCAACTTTTGGAGTGTTTTTTTAATGGAGGGGTTTGTAATGCAAGAAATATCATAGATGTTTTATGGGTTTCTACAAGTATTTCTGAACTGTTTTTAAAGAGAACAGTACTCTATTATGTAATATATACCACAATATATCTAAAATTTTAGGTAAAATTATAGCTGGTTTCTATAATAACTAATAATACAGTGACTGTCTTTATTAAATAATTTTTTCTTTGCTATTTATCATTATTTCTTTGTCATAAATTTCCAGAATGTGTGACCTAAGATTAAATTTCTAAGTATTTTATACCAATTCATATTATATATATATATATAAAATACTTAACATAGTAAAGAAAAATATTAAAAAAGAATTCGCTTTAATTTTTTTAATTCACCTTTAAAATTATCCTTTAATTATATAAGGGCTATTGAAAGCCGAAGAATATGGCCCAAACTCTGTGGTTCCAATGTGTAATAGTGTCAACAAGACCTCATGAGGCAAAAGTGAACAGCTAGAGGAAATTTGTCCATCACAACAGGTAGAGGGAGAAAAATAAAAGCAAGATAGATGATAGGAAAAGGTAGATCTTTTAAAGATGGGAAGGGGACTTAGGGATAGAGGGAGAGAAGAGGGAGGAAAGAGAAAGGGGAAGTACAAAGAATTAAGATGCAACATGCATATGTATCAACTCCTTACAATGCATGTATTCATTATGTATTGCAAACATGTACTAAAAAGAAAGCATGTTAAGTAATCTGTTAATTGATTTCACTCTGCTATAAACTGAAATAAAGCATATGGACATGAAACAGCAACCAAAGATGGTAACAGCTGGAGAAGAATCCTGTAGCTTTGGTTCAGGAATTCCAAAGAGTTCTAGGGCTGGGGATTTAGCTCAGTGGTTCCGATGCCTGTCTCTCAAGCACAAGGTCCCAAGTTCGAACCCCCGTACCAAAAAAAAAAAAAAACAAGCTTTAAGCCCTTGAACATGATATCATGTCTGTGGAAAGAGCAGTTTTTTCTAATGAGCCCAGTATGAGTGTGTTGTAATTTATACCCTTAAAGTTGTCAGTTCCACCTATTGCCCTTGGTGTGACAGAGAAAGAGAGATAGTCTTTTTTTTTTTTGTACTGGGGATCAAACTTGGGACCTTGTGCTTGCTAGGCAGGCGGTGGAACCACTGAGCTAAATCCCTGGCCTGTGGAGAGGTAGTCTTGACTTCAGCTTGCCCATGATAACTCATCATGAGTTATTTCTGGCTTTCCATCTGGGTTCTGAAATCTGTGTCAAAATGGAAGATGATTGGTTTCAAAAGGCTTGGATGTCAATGTGCGTTACATCACCCTCCTAAATCCTACTACTAAGTATGTCTTCAAAATTGCTACCCATTCCCTAATACTTTAGCTGACCCTGTGGCCCAGTGTTTAATCATAAAGACACTGAGAAAATCTGGTTTAGAATCCTGCCTACTTGCTTACCACTTAGGTAATAGAAGAAATTTTTCTGAACTCTTTTTTTTTCTGATTCAGTTTCCTCATCTGCAATATCAGGATAATAATAAAAGCACCTACACTGCAGGGATGTCATTAAGAATAAATGAAATAGGGCCAGGGATTTAGCTCAGTGGCACCATGCCTGCCTCGCAAGCGCAAGGTACTGAGTTTGATCCCCAGTACAAAAAAAAAAAAAAAAAGAAAGAGCACTTAACAAAACTCAAAAATTTCTTATGATGATAACACTCAATAAACTAGCAAAAGAGAACTTCCTCAACGTGATAAAGACCATATATGTGAAAAACCCACAGCAAAAGTATTGTAATCACTGATGAAAGACTGAAAACTTTCCTTCTAAGATCAGGAGCAAGACAGGGATGCCAGGTTTCACTGCTTTTATTTAACAGTATGGAAAGTTTTAGACACACAGAAACACACACACACACACACACACACACACACACACAAAGCAAGAAAAGGCATCAAGATTAGAGAAGAGAAAATAAAACTCTTTGTATTACAACAACAACAAAAAAAGAAGAAACTCATAGACTGAAAGTTAAAGGATGGAAAACAATACTCCATGTACCAGGAACACACAAAAAAAGCAGGAGTAGCTCTCCTCTTTGCAGATCAAGTAGATTTCAAACCAATACTGATTAAGAGAGACAAAGAAGGACACTACATCCTTGTAAAGGGAACAATCCAAGAGAAAGAGATGACAATCATAAACATATATGCACAAACACTAGTGCACCCAACTATATAAAACACATACTAACAGACATGAAAAACCAAATAAGCATGAATACAATAGTAGTGGGGGTACTCAGTACAATAGTAGTAGTAGTACTCAGTACCCCACTGTCACAAATAGATAGATCAACTAGACAAAAAATAAACAATAAAATACTAGAAATCAATCAAACTCTTGAACAAATGAACTTAACAGATGTTTACAGAGTGTTCCACCCCCAAAAATCAGAAGACACATTCTTTTCAGCTGCACACAGGTTGTTCTCCAAAACAGACCATATACTCGCTCATAGGTAAGTGCACAGGAATTGAAGTTATCCCCTGTATATTAGCAGACCATAGTGTGATGAAATTGGAGATCAATAGCAAAAGAAACTGCAAAAATTTCATAAACACATGGAAGTTGAACAACATCTGAATAACCAATAGGTCACAGAGGAAATTTAAAAAGAAATCAGACAGTTCCTTCAATTAAAAGACAATGGCAATACAACATATTGGAATCTATGGGACACAATGAAAGCAGTGTTACGAGGGAAATTCATAGCAGTGAATATGCATATTAGGAAAAGAGTGAGCCCAATTGAACAACCTGATGCTGAACCTCAACCTTCTAGAAAAAGAAGAGCAGGACAAACTCAAAGTTCATACAAGGGAGGAAATTATAAAGATCAGAGCAGAAATCAATGCAATGGAGACTAAGAGACAATACAAAAAAATCAATGAAGCCAAGAGTTGGTTCTTCAAAAGAATAAACAACATTGACAAACCCTTAGCCAGCCTTATCAAAATCCAGGAAATTAGGAAGGAAAAAATCCAGGAAATTAAGAATGAAAAAATCCAGGAAATTAGGAATGAAAAAGGTGAAATTACAATGCACTGAGCAGAAATCCAGAGGATCATCAATACCTACTTCGAGAACCTATACACCAATAAGATGGAAAACACAGAAGAAATGGACAGATTCCTAGATATGTTTGAATTACCAAAGTTAAACGAAGAAGACCTAAAAATTCTAAACAACCCAAAATCAATCAATGAAATTGAAAATGTAATTAAAAACTTACCAACTAAGAAAAGCCCAGGTTGTGATGGCTTCACTGCTGAAATCTACAAGACATTTACAGAGGAACTACTGCCACTACTGTTTAAACTCTCCAGTGAAATTGAAAGGGAGACGATACTCCTGAATTCATTCCTGGAAGCAAGCATCACCTTGATCTCCAAAGCAGAGAAAGACCCAACCGAAAAAGAGAACTACAGGCCAATCTCACTAATGAACATAGATGCAGAAGATCATCAAGAAGATCATACACCCTGACCAAGTGGGATTCATCCCAGGGATGCTGGGATGGTTCAACATACACAAATCAATCAATGTAATACACTATATTAATACAGCCAATGACAAAAACCATATGATCATCTCAATAGATGCAGAAAAAGCATTTGACAAAATCCAACACACATTTATGAGAAAAACCCCACGAAAATTGAAATAGATGGTCTCTACCTCAATGTGATAAAAGCCATCTATGAAAAACCAACAGCCAGTATCATACTAAATGGTCAAAAACTGAAATCCTTCACAACAAAAGCAGGAACAAGAAAAGGATGTCCACTATCACCACTCTTGTTCAATATAGTTTTGGAAACATTAGCCACAGCAATTAGACAAGAG